TCTGATTAACTCTAATAATAACTTGCAAAACTCACTGGCCCCTCTTTTCTCTTCTTCATCATTTCTGCTCCTCACGCTTGTGGAAACTACAAGATCAGGGAGTGTTTTTCCCAGGCAAAATTAATTTACCAGTGAAAAAGTGTGCTAAGATTACCGGGATTTTAGTTTGCTTATTTGATCATTATGGTACGTCAAATGACGCTGCAGAGTGCCACCCACTACTGTTGGTTCACCTAAAATTTTCCAAACTCTAAGAGTGTCTCATAAAGTGCATTAATTTTTCCCCTTCTTTTCTTCTTCGTTTCCCCTCGCCTTCAAATTTTTCGTATGCAACTGGTGCATCGAGATATTTGCAAAGCCCAAGCCGGGATCCAGTGCTGCAGACTGTTGGATTCATTGCTAGCATTGCAGATGAGCATAAAATCGGTGCTGTTGTGCACTGTAATGTACAGCATCACACTGCATGCGCAGCAGAGAAAGGCATTCGTGAATCCGCAAAGTCAGTGCCGCATCAAATGCCTGAACGGTGGATTCTGTGCCTACCTGGTCGACAATCCTGCTATCCACACCTGCCTCTGCTTACTCAATTTATTCTATGGTGACCGATGCCAGTATGCCGGTAAGCTCGATTTATAATTAACCACTGTTAGCGTGCACAGTTTTGTCATTTTGTGGATGTATGGAGAGGTTGCCAGTAGCATCGATAGCGCGACAATGAACGTCGGTGATACACAGCAGCTCAGCTATTCAAGGGTGGATGTGTGCAGTTCAAGATCCAAGGACCTGACATAGCTGCGGCTGCCATGTGTAAACATAGCCGTAACATTACTAACATGGATATCTACCAGGATGATTGCCCGGACGGTCTTGCTATGAAGATAACAGAGTGAGTGCAAAGGACTAATGATTGAATTTGATAAGACAGCAGTCATAAATGCTCGAGGCGTTTTTGATAAAATGTAGAAAATGTGAATTTTTCGTTTCAAATGTCGAAACCGTTCCAAATTATCAAGCTCAAAACAGAAACCATCAGATACGGACAAGTTAAAAATCATTTGCAAAATGAAGCAACTTCCCATAAAATAAAATCAGTAGAACGATTATTATCATCATCAATATTCAATAACTGTCATCATCGTTGCCAAAAATTGTTAGTAATTACCATCATTAAATGACCAAATGACCATTACCACTAATCGCAAACAAATTATTAACGAAATAATTCTTTTATTACTTGAATTGAATTAGAACCAGTATGGATTTAACCATTTTATTGCTTGGACTGAATCATTTTTATGCGTTTTTTGCAGCTATGCAATGCAAAAACGCATATTGTCGAGGGGTTGTCTGTGTGTGTGTGTGTCTGTGTGTGCGTCTGTGTGTATG